AAATTTTCTATTTAATGATTTATTCTAGTCAACGAAGGAGTAATTTTGGAGAATAGCAGAAAAAATTCCCAACCAACTTTTTTTTTTTTTGTTTTAATTAGGCAATTGGTGGATTATTCCAAAAGCAACATCAACTCTTATTTCTTTAATTATATCATGATTAGTAGTTCTTTGATTTTAAAATATAATATATGAATATATACTAATTATAATTATTAAATTTAGTATGAAATTGATATTTAATATTGTAATTTAAACGGAGAAATTATAAAAATAATAAAGAAGTTATATTTTGCTATACTTTTACGTGTATAAAAATTTAAAGGGCTTGATACAATAATTTTCAATAAAATGTAATAAACCAAAAATAAAAAGAAAGAAAAGAAAAAGAGAAAAAATAGATAGAGAATAAATAGATAGAGAATAAAAGGAAAATTAGGGTTGCTTAATAGATTATTGTAATCATTATTTGTTATAAGTTTTTGTAATTTTAATGTAGATTTAATTGTCTTCAATTTTATTTAAATTAATTTTCTCATTAATTGTTTCTCTCATTAATTATTAATGGTTTATCACGCAATAGATTGTTGGAAGTTCGAAAGCATAGGTTAAATTGTACTTACCTTACGTCCTGTGTGATACAATAATATTTTAAGTAATCCAGTGTTGATTTCCGTATTAAACGCACTACGTATACGATTTACACTACTTGTAATATAGTCTATATAATTGCTTACAAAAAAACGACTCAAGACTTTAAATAATATGATTTAATTACACAAAGTCTAAGACTGATCTCACTTGTAAAAGATTTTAAACACTCTGTATTTTATTCTAAAAACAATTCTGATTTTTTTTAACTTATTGATTTTTTTACGTTTATTGAATAAGTATTTTTTAGAGAGTATATTTTATTGAGAGATCGATACCAATATTTCTTAAATTTTCCTCTGGCCTGGCCAAAACAAGATTCAGAAATATCTATATCTATGTAAAAAATTTATCAAGGCAGAATTGTGGTGGCCCAATGTGTCCCGGTGCTAAAATAAAGCACCTTGAAAGGATGCGGCACAATAATAACCAAGACAAAATTTAAACACTGCAAATATATTCGTAAGTTTCTCTACGTTGTCTGCCGGCGCTATGTTTATTAAAACAAAGACATTAGCATCGAGACTAGCTACCCAATACGCATAGGCTTACAAATATATTCTAACCTAATATACCTAATTCTAGAACAATATCTAGTTGCAACCTTTACTCTGTCTGCCGGCGCGATGTTTGTTAAAACAAAGACATTAGCAACGAGACTAGCTACCCAATAAGAAAAGCTCACAATAAATTTTTATAACTAAATAAAAATCTAAAGTTAGGTTGGGTTTATTGTTAAAATAAAATAATTTAAAAAAAGATATAATGTTTAAAATATTATTTGATGTTTATTTTCATAACAAGAAAAATTAAAAAATTATTATTAATTGAACAAATTAAATTAAATTAAAAGATTCACCAAAACAAAATTCACTTTAAAATTTCTAAGTGTCATTTAGTTTTAAAGAAAAATATTCTAAGTCCAAATTAATTAAAAAATC